GCATTGCATCTTATTTTAATTGAACATTTGGTAAATATTAGATTAACGTTTATGTTACCCCTATGCGACCAAGGCCCATATGTTTAATAATTTTTTTTGTTGCAGTTATTGTTTTATTAAAGATAATTCTATTTAAAATATGATTGAATATTAAATATAAACATTAAAGTTATAGCATATCTCAATGCTCAAAGAGTACTTGCAGAAGTACTTAGATATTGTTCACAAATATTATTTCACATCAATAATAAAATTTAATCGCACAATCTTAAAGGTTATAAACTAATTTCTTATTAATTAAATTAACTTTTGTTGATATAAGTTAGTTAGTACTTGAACAATCAAAGGGAAAGATTTATGAATCTTTAAATTTAAAGTAGTAACAATTAATGATGATAAACTCAGAATCGGCAATTAAAAATTCAAACTGAAATCAAAGCATGTGCCTTCCTCAACAAATTTTTGAATACTTCCTCCACGTTGCAGGACAAGTCTGGGTTTATTCAGATGGTGCTCCCACGTTCATGTCCTGTTTTCTACAATTAATAGAACATGTGGCCATAATAATTATTTTGTAATCATTAAGTGCACCACTAAAACATACTCCGTCCAGTCTTATGAAGTATAAGTTATTTTTATTAATCTCATCCATATTAATATAATAAAATATAAAAAATAAAAGTAAGTGAAATTTTATATAATTTGCAAGTAAAAAGAAAAAAAATAATATAATTTTTTAATCTTTTTTCTCTTACTTTTTAAAGATAATTTGAGAATTTCAATTTAAAATAAAACAATTCTATCAACCAGTGACCCATAAAATAGATCAGATTATATTTTTAAAAAATGACTAATATACATTGGAGAAGTAAATGATTAAATATCCGACTGAAAGAAAAATACTCCCTTGTCCCCGATATGACACATGGTTAATAAACTCCAGGTTTATTAAAAAATTCTAGTTATAATATTAAATTGTAAAAAAATGTAACTTGTTAATTTTATCCTTTTTTGTAATTAATAATTGTAATAAATTATTATTTAGGAATTTAAATAACAAGAAATATATAAGGAGTGAAATTTAAAAACAAGTGTTTAGGACTAAAAACGCTTTCAAACTTTGTTTTATATAAAGAACTAGAATAGTAAATACGGGCTTATTTGAAATTATTTTTATTTTATTAATAATGTGTAATTAATAATTAATAATTGTTTCAAAAACACTCTTGACTAAGAGATATCTCGGTGAGACTTTTTATTTGACACAATCTATTAAATAAAAATAAATATAAAAATATAATTTTAAAGATAATTAATTAATTAAATAAAGACTCTAATTCAATTAAAATTTAAACTTTTTTACAATATTAAAAGGGGGAATAATAAATTACTCCATCGGTAACGAAAGGTGTTAAATATTGCTTTAAAATATTGAAAATACTTGAAATATGAACAAATTTTCTCTAAAAAGATAAACAGAGAGAGTATCATTTATTTTCAATGATACAAATTATTTTTTATTATTTTTCTTAATCATTATAGAGTAATTAAAAGTATTTTATACTAAGGATCAGATGGAGCACTTCACTCATAAAATTCTCAATCTTCAAGTTATGAAGTATTATTTTCATGACATATTAAGAATCAAAGCATTGTGTTTCTAATTAATTGAGCCAATATTAAACGATTTTTTTGCGTGATATATTACTCCACGTGTGCACTCAAGGTTCATGTATCACTGTTAGCTTTCGAAACCACTCATTTCCCCAACTAGAAGGCACAAGTTGATGAAGTTATAATCAATATTGTTGATATTAATTAATATCGGTTTACTCGGTCTTAATGTTGATTTTTGTTTCTTTGGTCCATATCACATTCTTATCAGAAATTGGTGGATGATGAAGGCTATTATGCCCCTAGGAATGATCTCATGTATCTTTGCTCTTCCTTTGTTTCTGTTTCTGTTTCTGTTTCTGTTTTTGTTTTTGTTTTTGTCTTCTGGTTTTTGTTTTTGATTAATGAAGTTTGAACTTTGAAGCATACAGTTTCTATTTAAAAATTATAAAATATATTCCGGTCATCAGGTTGTGCCAGTGACCATGACTCATTTTTCACTCTCTGTACAATGCATACATTTAAATATTTCGTCAAAACCTCTTTCAAAAAAAAAAATTGTTATAACCATGTTGGGTATTGGTTATGAAGAACTTATTTCTTAACCACGTTTTCTCTTGCCACAAAAATAAGATCTGGCTCAGGATCGAAACAGAGTTTGCCGCCCTTTTTTATGTCTGATTATGTTAGATTTTAATATTATCATTATCGGTTTTATCGGACGTGATTCCTGCGAAGACGTTTCATTCATCTCTTTCTCATAATTTGAATTTAATTTTTTTATCTAATGTCTACGTTAAAGTTTAACTGCTATTTGCATTCTTCTATGTGTAATAAAATTATTAATTTATGTACACGCATAAATTACAAATTAATATTCATCATTTTTCAATGTGGGTTAAGTCTTTTTATTTATTAATTAGAGACATTTTATAAAAAATATATTAATGACTCATTATATGAAAGTGTCACATAAAATTATTTAGTTATTATTCTTTATATAAATCATGTTCTAAAATGAATTTGTGCCTTTGTGGTCTTCTTTAATGCTTTCGAAGTACCTAGCTGATTCCTTTAAAACATCATTCCCTGATCACACAAAGTAATAATAGATGAAGAAAGGTTATACTTAGGGGAAAAGTTATAAAATATCACACATTGTTTTATATTTAAGACCAGGAAAAGCATCTAAATTTCATCTTATATTGTGAAACCAACAGAGTATTTTTCAAACCTAGGTTCCATTTGGTTACTAAAAGAAATGAAATTAAATATATTAAAAAAACACAAAAATAAATTAAATTATCATTTCTTCTCATAATAAATATGATAAAACTTATTAATATATATTATAAATGTAAAAATCATCACACCTTTTAAAAATTTTATAAATTATAATTCATAATCTCATAAATTAAATTATTTCTCTTATTTATGAATATAGTTTATTATTCTTTCCGATCATCTCATCTTTATCTTTATATTTTTAATCTATTTTATTTTATTTTTTTAATAATCAAACAGCACATAAATGTTTTATACTACGATGAGGGCAAGTCATTCCATTCATTCCATTCCATACATTCATGAGGGTCATTTCACACATTTATTTGGGACGTAAAAATATCAATCACTCCTTAAATTGTACAATCCATAATATAACTTCGTAAATAAACGAAAACAACTAATCATTGTCGACAACTAGGCAGCAGCTCTTTTGTTGGTTGTCCCATCTTCCTCAACTAGAAAGGAGTGAGAACGGTTTATTTCAAATAGTGTGGAAAAGTCATAACAAAAAAAAAAAAAAAAATCCAGTGTATAAAAAATTAATTTGAAAATTGAAATAATAATGGGACCAAGAAGCCAATAAAAACGTGGGGCCGGCATGACAGGCTGCAAAAATTTAATTAGAAAGCAACGGTGGTGTGAGGCTGTCCTGGATGTTAGGAAGGGCACATCTCCCGCATTTATGCCCCCCTCAATTCTGGCTTCTTTCCTTTTATACCCCTCCCTCTTTTACTTTTTCCCCACCCCGCTTTCAGATTCTCCAATTTCGGGCCAACTTTCCCCATTCTCGACTCACAAATATTTACTATACACATTTCTTACCATACTTTATCTAAATTTGAAACATAAGTTATAAGAAATTTTTACATAGACTCAATATACTACATCATTTTTGTACTATTCAAGTAAAACATGACATGCTGGAAGATTATAAATATAAATTGATCATATCACTGATTATTAATGTAAAAAGAGAGAAGGCAAAACCTTTAGGAAACACTTTATTTAAAAAGATTCATTAAAAATATTAACACATGAAATTTTATTTAATTGAATTGGTATAATTTTATTGAATAGAATATGAATGATGTGGTACTTTTAAGCCATGTTCATTTGTCTTGCGTTTTATTCTATATATGAGAGATATTGGCTAGATTTGGCCTTTTGTATTTATTGAAGGGAGACTTGCGGTCAGATCCTAAATAAAAAAATTAATTACTTATTTAGTCTGTTTATAAGGCAAGTTTCTATATTTACATGTTAAACTTTAGTATTTATAAGTAAACAAAAATTTTAAATAATTAGCTTTCTTATATATATGAAATCTATATGTAATTTTCTCTTTGTTAAGTTTTAAGGCTATCCGCCCCTTATTCAAGAATTTAGTGAGTATTCAAATTATTCTAGAAAGAATAATATATAAATAAATTTATATGACATTAATACATAATATAATTTTATTTTATCCCCTCCCATTCTTATTGCAAGTCACTTCTGACCACCTCATTAAAACTGAGAAAATATAATTAAATCATTAATTTTATTTAAAAATGAAATAAATTTAAGATTTTACTTGTAGTTAAATAAAAAAATTTTAAATTTGCATTCTATTCTTCCCTATAATTAATATTTTTAAATAGAAGTGATATTAAAAAAATTTAACTAATACATCATCAAGCTTATAAATAAGAATGACTCATTTCTTCTATCAACATGCCTTATAATAAAGACAGATGAAATATATTGATAAGTTTCTTCCTTGTGACTAAAGAGATCTTCCTTTGAGAAATTAGGTTATTAATAATAAATGCAAATAAAAATATTTTGGTGCGCATGATGTGTAAACATCAATGAATATATAAGGCTGAAAAGTACACGTTTTTATATTTATTAGGCTGAAAAGCCAGCGGGGCTCTTGCATGTCATGTTCCAGCAGTGAAAAAGGGAGATAGAGCAGTAATTATAGTAATCAGCGCGTTAAATTTTTTCAAAAATTTACGACGGAAAAAAAAAGATATTTTACTACACAAATTAACCCCGCTTCAGGATATATATAACCCAATAGCATCCCAAAATTACCCAAACACTGAAACCCTCTCTCAAACAGTGGAAGAAGCTCAGTTTCAGATTCGGAACTCTCTAACTCTCTCTATATCTCTGAGTTTCAGAAATGAAAACGATGAAAGGAGGAGAAGGGAACGAGTACAAGAAAGGACTGTGGACGGAGGAAGAAGACAGGGTTTTGATGGAATACATCGGAGTTCATGGAAGAAAGCACTGGAACCGCATTTCCAAAGTCACTGGTATTATATATATTATTTGATTCTGGAAATACATATTTGAGCATCACAATTATAAATGTGTGTGAATTGAGGACGTGAGTTAAATAATGATGATGATGATGATAGGCTTGATGAGGAGTGGGAAGAGCTGCAGGTTAAGATGGCTCAACTATCTCAGTCCAAACGTCAAACATGGCAGTTTTACAGAGGAAGAAGACGACCTCATCATTCGACTCCATAATCTTCTTGGAAACAGGTTCACGTCACTTCGCCACTACTTCTTCTTTTAGACTTCATTACGTTATATATTTTTCAGTTACTTTTATATAATATATAACAAAATCTCCGTTGTGTGTGTTTTCAAGGTAACATGACACTTGAATACTTGATTTTTTTGCATCATGTCAGTATGATAGAAGATTAATGGTTGTTTAATTACATCAAATTAAATTAACGCATGGAATATATATATATATATATATATTTCCTTTTCACATATTAAGTTGCTTGTGAGAAAGCAAGTTGACTTTTAGGCTTTAGCGCTAGCTCTCTTTAATATATTCATTAATCTGATAAAGAACAGATACGTTCGAAGCTTGAACACATGTTTTGGATTTAAAAGCATATTTTTTCAGAGGCAGTGAAATTAACGGTGCGTCAATAAAAGACAGCCTAAAATGGTCCAAGATGTTCTGAAAAGGTTTTCTGTTCAGATCAAAACAAGAAGCAAATGGGCAAATTAGTGTAAATGGACCGCAGCTGGGGAAATGAACGTAAAACGACTCCTCACTTAAAATTTAGCGTAAAACTGATATTGAATGTACTTTAATTTTAGTAAAGAGCAGCGTTGTTTTGTTTATGAATTAATTATCATCAATATTTTTAATTAATTATCATTAATATTTTTAAGGTTTTAACTACCGTTTTTTTATATAAACAGTTATACTTATAATGCTTTGGGATGCAGATATTAAATTTCAAATTAAAGTGTTTAATTTGATGTCAATTTTATAAATACTGAACTTTCCGTCCTTATCTTTCTAGGAATTACTAGTAATTTCTTTTATTTTTGGATTAAATAGCCATTTGACAACTAAGCTATAAGTCCATGACCAATAGTTGACCAAATGACAGAAAAAGATCTCAAAAATTATTTTCTTTATATTTTTCTGTGATTTTTTTAAATTATTGTTCATAATTTTTGAGTTATTCTCCATAATTTGTGTTTTTTTCTATAATTTTTTTATTTTTCATATTATTTTTTGGTCAAGTAATGATCAAATGTAATTTTTATTAACATAAATTATATTGTATCATTTTCAAAAGTTAAATATTAGCATCACACGAAAAATGAGTTTAACATCTTAGATATTCTAGGATTGATAATTTATAAGCCAAAGCCCTTTAACAATTTATTTTTTAATATTAGTGGCTTGTTTATAGGTCAAATTTCCCTTTAACCCATCAATTTTTTAAAAAAGAAAAATATAAACATAAAATATATGATATTTACTTAGATGACGGTATATTTAAGTGGATGAGACTCACTTGAATGATGAACCACAAACACCTCGCGTCTATGCCTTTTTAATCATTCTTTTTTTAAGAGAAAAAAGAGGTTCAATTCCATCCTCTACATTTTTTTTCCTTTCTCTCTGTTTTTTCCCCTAACTACTAAGGCGAACAAAAAATAAATCTGCAGCAAGGATACGTTTGAAGCATCTTGGATCTTGTATTCTCCGTACTACCAAGAGCCTCAGAAATATAAAAAGTTAGATTATGTTCTGACTGAATGAAGCTCTCAAACTTGACTTTCTTGCTTTGTGTGTGTGTGTGTGTGTGTGTGTGTGTGTGTTTATACAATATTTCTCCAACAGGAAAATTATTTAAACGTATGTCAAAAAGCGCTTGTCGTAGTAGTTTTACTATTCTGATGTATCTAAGCAGACAAAAAGCTACCAATAATTGGACTTCTCTGCCACAACTTCAACTAAGTATACACTTCAAAAGTTAAAGTATACTTGGAAGGTTTGAGACTTCAAGTAAATTTCATGTATCAAATCATTGATTTCTTTTTTTAAAAACATCATGCTTAAGTTTCAATCCATTCAAATGAGTACTACGCATTGATTTTCCTAAAGGAAAGCAACCAAGATTAGATAGGCAGGTGAATGTAGATATGTTGTAATTGCAATTATATAATTTAGCTGTAAAAACAAAAATAGCAAGATAAAGGATGACAATATATCATATGCAGTTTCAAGGCGAAAAAAAGAAGAAGGAATGCAGGTGATTTAAAAATATGATTATTAGAAAGGGAGAATGCAAATGTTATATATAATCATTATCATTTTTGTTAACCATACAGGTGGTCTCTAATAGCTGGAAGGGTGCCTGGAAGAACAGACAATCAAGTAAAGAATCATTGGAACACTCATTTGTGCAAGAAACTTGGAATTACTAAGCAAACCAAAAGACCCATGAAACATAAAGAATCTTTAAAATCTAGTGCTTCACAATTAGAAGAGGCTCGAAATGTTCACACATCTCTAGATTCTATGCCTGTGATTCCTCTTGCTCTCAACCATAAAGGCAAAGAAGCTGAGATACAAGGTCAAGGAAGCCGCATGAGCAACAATAATTCTATGACAAATGTTGAAGAAGCACAACATTGTTGGCCATCTACGGAAAAAGATCACTTTGACCAAGCTTTTATGTTTAATGATGATCATACCTTTGTTCTACACAGTCCTCCCAGGTTAATGGAATTCTTTGATGGATTTGATATGATTTAAGTTGGATGGCTGGATTTGATAAATAATTAATAAAACATATCAATTTTGTTTTCTTTCCCCAAAAATTCTAGGTATTATACACATGGACTGGGGGCATATCCTTTTTCCTTACCCTTCATTTTTCTCTTTTTTTTTTCTTTACCATCGTTAGATCAAACTTTCAATGACTTTAATTCAATAAATTTCACATAAAAATATATAATTTTGGAGGAAAGTTCAAAGAGATCAATTTAAGATTTGGTGCTGTTCCGTTGGAAAAAAAAAAGGATTTGTTGTTGTTATATTTCTCAAATCCCTCTCTCTCCCTCTCTCACACTCTCACACACACACGCACGCACGCACGCGCACACACACATTGTAATGATTAGATTGATCAAGGAGACATGGGATAATTATATGTGTAGTTCCAAAAGAAACGACGCAGATGGACTGTGGAGAGGCCACAGATATAGGCAAATAGCTAGCAAGTTGGGACCAAGACAGCGCATTCACTGGAATATAATTTAAGAAAATTGTCGATAACTGATAAGGGCCACATGACTATTATCTGGGTATTAAAAGGAACCGTGCATGAATTAAACATTTTGGGGGACCATAGTTCTTAGAATTATATTTAAATGTGAGAATATTGAATCATCCAGATATGAAAAGAAAGTGAGCTCGAAGTTGTGTCTAGGTTCTGGGGGAAAATTATAAATAAATGCGAGATATTTGTTAAGATATTTTTCTCAGATTATATAATTTTTCAGAATAGGCATTACGTTTTAAAGGAATATTTTACCTCGCATTCAAATAATTTAGAAATTTTTCATCCAAAAGATAATAATTTAGAAAATGTTTGAATATTTAATAAATTATTTAAATAATAGGTAAAATATTTGAAGAGTTGAGAAAAATAAGTGAATAAATTAAAAATACGCTGCAGATTTCTGAAAAATAATTGAAGACCATTGAAAATATATCGTAGAACTATTTCTCCCAGTCTACAAGACTGAAACAGATCTTCAAATTTCTTCACTTGCTTTCTTTAAATATTCGAATATTTTAGCTCTTAAAAGAATAATTTAGCAAATATCAAATATTGCAATAAAATGTCTCTGAAAATTTGATGTCCTACTCTAAAACATCACGTCACTTGAGACAAATATTCGAATCAATATCTCATAATTAAAAAATTATTTCTAAAGTTTAGCACAATCTTGATTTCACGATCTTTTTATGTTTTATGAAAAGGGTAATTTTCCCTTTTCATATTTAAACAGAGATCCTCCAAAGGAACATGGTCTCCTAAAATGTTTAATCCATACTCCGGTCTTTGTCCAAATATTGTAGCCAATTGGTACTTGGGAAAATTACAAGAAGAACCAGGTATGAATAATATTTATTCTAGAGGACTTTAAAAATTTTAATTATTAAAAAGGACCAACTACCAGAATTCAAAATTCACCGCAGGTTTGAAAAGGGAGAAAAGAAAAACGAAGACAAAATGCAGACGAACTTAATGTAATCATTTCAAAATGGTCTATCAATTATATTTTGGTTGAAATCCTATAATATAATTCTCCCTTGTTTTTCCAGCTTTTTGTTAGGGAGAATTTCGATTGAAGATCACAAAATAAAAATATTTATTAGTGGTCCTAAAAAATATAAAAATTTGTTATAGATTTTTTGGACTAAATTGAAATAAAGTTGTTTGTTGAAAAGATTGAAATATCTTTTTACAAAAGAAAAACAAAAGACAGCTAATAAAAAAACTTATTAATCATTTAACTTTAAAAAAAATTGTAATTACTTGTTTCATTATAGTTATTATAAAAAAAGTAACTATTATTCAAACTAAAATAGCCATTAATAATTACTCTTTTTAGGACCAAAGCTGTTAGTTTTTTATTTTAAACTTGTGATATTTTAGTCATTTTGCCCAAAAATAATTAACGTTAAAAAGATTGTTAGGAACTCAAGGATAACTATGACATCATACGAAAACTCATCCTCATTTGTATATTTCAAAAACAAAAAATTCTATCACTTTTTCTAAAAAATTCTATCACGTGAAATCAGTTTTACCGCTAATTAAAGGCAGACAAAGAAACAAATTCACGAACATGAAATCACGTGAATACTCAGTACTCAACAGTCAACACATGAATTTGATATATATATATATATATATTTTTGGCCAACGAACACATAAATTTGATCATGATAAACACAAGTACATTATTTCTTTGTATGTTTATGCGAACGTACATAAGTTGGACGTATTCAATAGCTTCATCAGAGTTAGACTAAATTTCATGATTGAAAAATGCTTAAAAAATTTTAGATAGTGTTTAGTTGGAGTTTTAGGATAGGAGGTGGCAGAATTTTTTATTTTGTTTGCTTCCATTTATTTATTTGGTATTTAATGGGGAAAAAAAAAGAGAAACTCACCCCTTATTATTAAATTATAAGATATTTTTAGATAAAATTTTATATATCAATAAATTTTATTAACTACACTTAACAGTCTTTTTTTTTTACAAAATAAAAATATAAGCTTTTAAAGATATCTTTCATTTAATATATCAAAAAGAGATAAAGATGAAAATTAAATAGAGAGATAAAGAATAATATTAAAACAAACTTATTTAATGAAATCTTTAATTTTTTTTAAAGCATATTATATTTTAAGATGCTAAATTTTTTTAAAATGTTTTATAATTCAGAGCAAAAACATTAGTATGTTCCTTTTGCTCCATTTTACAAGACACCTTTTTAAGAAAAATTGAAAATATAACTAAAATAAATTTAATGTAGATTGCAATTTAAGTTTTTTTTAAAAAAAAGAAATATGAATTTTTCAAAAAAATCCTTTATCATTTTGATGAATGAAATAATGAAAGGAAACTTTTAAAGAGATTTCATTAATGAATCAACTTTTTTTCAAAACTTATAGTACAAAATATCAAACCACTATTAAAAATATCTTATAAAAAGATGAAGGGAAGAGTTCTGATGCAATTTAAATTTATATTTTCGCAGGTTACAAGACTAATCCTTACCAAATAAATTATTATTGATTATACTAATATGCATGTTTTAATTAATATACTATCGTGGCATTTTAAATAAATATAAATAAATATTGATCTTGGTATAGAAACAAAGTAAAGAGAGAGACAAAAGATAAAAACATGTGGTGGGTTGTGGTTAAGTTACAAGTTTGAAATGCTGCATAATTGAAGTGAGAAAGGCACATACAGCAGGGAAAGGCATGGCTTGGAGCCGCTTGTTTGACGAGTCCGTGCATAGCTTTGGGGTGTGTGTGTGTGTTTGCCGCTTTCACGTGATTTCCATCTTCGCACTGCCTCGCCCGACAACCTTCTTAAATACCATACCCACGTTTGACGTTTTGTTGACCTAATTTCGGTCTGCCTTTTCATGATTTCTGGATTTATTAAGAAAATATTGATTTATAAACTTATAAAGATTTAATGCGCTGTTTGGTATCAGTGAAATGAAGCAACAAAAGTGAGAGTAAAGTGAAATCCAAATCTAGCATGTAGTTTTCATGTTGAAGTTACTTCCATAAAAAACAATGGAACACATTTCTTTACCCAATTCCATAGAACCCAGTTCCACTTTCATCATACCCTCGAGCTTGATAATTTTGCCCCTCACAAAGGACGATTGGTAGCGATGGCAGTGACTTTGGCGAGGACAACAACAAATGGCAGAGACTCTTGATTGACAGACAAGGATGGCAAATGGGCCATTTTGTTTGATTTTTGATTCGATTCCCACTCCAACTTCTATCTTCGATTATAATCTTTAATTTCTTTTTCTTACACAAAGTTCGATTTAGGCTTTGTTTGATTGGGGGGAGGGCAGAGCCCTCCCCTCCTAAGCCTCCCCTCCAAATTGGGGGGGGAGCTTCCCTCCCCTCCCCCTCCCTTTCTTCCTTTCCCCTCACCTCCCTTTTCTTTTTTTTTCCTTCCTTCGAACTAAATAGACCTTTATAATTAATCTTCTTGGGGCAAATAGCGAGTAGGTTTAAGTTGCCCATATCAAGAAAGCAGTATTCGACAATATCCCTAACGTGGGGGTCAAATTTGATTTTGCAACAAATTCTTGATTTAGGCTTCAACAAAATCCCTAACAATTTAGGCACGATTCAAGCTCTGATGTATTGTGAGAGTTTGGGACCTTTGCTTCTTCATTTGAGTGACAGCATTCAAGCAAGATTCAATTTTGGATTCAATTTCAAGTGTCCAATTTTTGGTCCTTCAATTTTGGTGTTCATATTTGTTTTACTGTGTGTGATAATAATGGCTCCAAGCTCTAACTTTCACTGTATTTTCAAGCAATGTTTGCATTTTCCAGCAAAAGTGGGTGTGACCTCCAGCAACAACAATCATTGGTGGTAAGCAACAAGTTAGGGTTGTGGTTTTAGGAGGTGAGGACATATTTATAATTTCACATCACAAATATAATTATTGAATAAAAAAAATTCAACACTTCCACGGATATACCAAACACACTTTCAAACTCACTTCTATTTCCATTTTTACTTGTACTTTCACACAAAAAAAATCCTTTACCAAATGGGGCATAAAGAGTAGTAAAGAGTTAATCCCTCATCACTAAAATATAATTTTTTAGCTAATGTTGGTCTAAAAGTAACACACTTCACAGAAATTAATGTGACAATGATAGTTAAAGTACCTTTTTGTAATCTCACTGTTTTTTTTTGAATTAAAAGTAATTCTATTTGAGATATAGTCAAATACTAAATATGTGCTCCTCTTTTTATGAGACTTCAAATCTTAATTCATCACATTATAAAAAACTAATTTCATTTGCTAGACTTAATCTCATTAGTTTAGTTGGTCTTATTCTAATAAAAAAGAACCATAGTTTTAAATGTGAAATATTTTTCATTTGAATAAATGTGAGATAAAACAAACAAAATATTAAGTTATTTGAAAGAAGTCTTATGAAAATGGTGGTTGAGTGGCCCAGGGAGATTGTCGAAGCGGTGAAAATTTCACAGCCCAAATTATGACAATCCGAAA